CTTCAAGTTCTGCTTGATGCGCGGATTCTGGTAAAATTTCAAAGTTTAATAATTTGCGATTTGTGGCTTTTTTTGGGGATATTTTTAATCGTTGGATTTCTTTTTTGCAATGTTTAAGGTTGAGATGCAAAAATCTTTCCACGTTGATTTGGTAAAGAGATTCGTTATCGAGTCTGTTTTTACTTCCATTTGAGACTTGTGAGCAATGTACTTTATATCCCGTTAGAGTTGTAGCTCGTGCTTTCAAGTAAACTGTTGCTACTATCTTTGTTGATTCTATGTTTTGTGGTTCGGATTCACATTGTGTTACTTGATTAGTTGCGTATTTTTGTAGTGTTTTCTTTTGATTTTCTTCACAATCATAACTAGTAACTAAGAGGTCTTGTGGTCCTGTTCGGGCAGAAAGATTTTGATGAGATGTGGGTTCTAAGAGTACAAGTAGGGAAACAGTTTTATGAAAGAAAAGTGTTAAAAGATACATGTGTAAGATGAACCTGAACATAGAATGTAGAGTGTTATATATCCAATAGTCTTTTTGTATATCTATCGTATTTATAAATTAGTTCTGTCGTGATAAATGGAGGGGTAAAGACTGAGCTGTTATAATCGGTGGACATTAGGTAGTGGCTCCAGTTTTAGTGTTAAGTTATCTTGAATGAGGATTTGTTCATAATGTTCTTGTATATCTTTGTGAAAGTCGTGTCTGTATTGTAATCAGTTTAGTGCCCAATTTTGTTGTCTACTACTATCAAGATGTTGGCCAAATAGGGGAAGAGATACTACAAATGTGTTCCAATCTAACCATAAAGGTAAATTTGTGCTAAACATTCTCGATATCGATCGTCTAAGTTTGTAGAGAAATTCAGGGAGAACGTAGTGGTTGGATTTTGACCTGTTACTGAAGGGCTTGATGGTAAGGCGTTAAGTTCTGGTAGGGATAAAGAGGTATCGGATGAAACGTTTATGGGGTCGTTTACTACTTTTGGTTCGCCTTGGGAGAATGCTTGTATCATCCAATCTGGAAGACGTTGTGTTGATGTGGGGGGTTAAAAGGATTTTCACGAATTCGTTTAGATTTTGGTGTCAATCTCAAATAGTCCGACGGGTTATTTGGGGTATTTTGTTGAAAAATTGTTTTTAGTGATGGGGAAGTACTTTGGATGGTATTGCTAGAAAGATCCAAAGGGTCGAAAAGAGTCATGGATGTATTTTAAAATGAGCTGGGTGTTGCAAAGTTTGGATTTCTTCGGGGATGGATAATTTGTCTATCTATTGTAGGTGTTAATTTTTGATTTTGACTCGAATGTCTAGTTCTATTAAGATCTTGTTGAAGTCAGGATTAAATTTTTTGCGTTGATTCGTATTGTGGCTTACTTAGGGGTGCTTGATGAATTGCTGGTATCAAAGGTTCGGATAATGATGCGTGTCTTTCGTCAAAAGTTTAATGATTTTTTATAAAATGAAATACTTGTAGATGATTGGGGTTGGTTTGTTTGACTGGATGTTGGTGTTGTTGGGGGATATTGGGATGTAGTATTTAATGGGAATTGTTTATTTGGTTGTTGATTAGTTATTTTGTATGTTTCGATTTTTTTCTTTTCTTAATTAAATCTATGTTGTTTATAGTATTCTTCGATAAAAACTATGCGGAGAATTGTTGCTAGTGCAAAGGTAGTTATTACTTTTTTTATACATTTGCAAATGGTTAGGTCGAGAGAGACTAGTGAGGTGACAAAAATTACAAAAAGAAGAAAGATGTCTTTCTGTTGAATAAATGTCGTAAAATTTAAAAGGTTGTTGAAGTTTCGTACCTGACGAGGTGGTCAAGATTTTTTGAGAAATTATAGTAGGTTTTTATGCGGGAGTAGAAATCTACAAAGAGGCTGCAAATACTATAAAAAGGAGAAATGCTATTTCTAGGGTGTTATTGATAAAAAAAATTCTAAAACTATTGAACAAAATCATAGGACTTTTGAAATGATTGTCTTAAAATATTGAACTGGCCTTGAGAAAAGCAATTAAGAAAAGATTTATTTCGTCGAAACTTTTTTTTTAGTTCTTCGGGTTAAAAATTTGGTGTGGTCGGATTGTTTAATGATTTTTGACAATTGGTTGAGTATAGGAAGATTTTTGTGAAGGAAAGTCTGGAGGTTTAGGAATGAGCTTCCTAGTTTTTTTTTATTGGGTTCTTAGGGGTTTTTTGAAGATGAATCAACTTTAGGCTAAATGATCATGTCAGTTTTTGTCTTTAGGCTTATTCGTTACTTCCCTTTTGGGAAAATGATGTGGGGTGTAAGTTGAGACAATTTTGTTGGTTTTTGTACTGAGTGATAGAGGAGGGTTGTAACAGTTATATCAATTTTTTTGTTGTTGTCAAATATGAGAATATTGCTTATTTTTGACCTAGAGGTCTACTAGTTATAGTTTCAGATCTATTTGAAGTTAACAATTTGTCGGCTAAGTAAAGTGGTGTCAGAATTTGGTGATATTTGAAACGATTGTGATTGGCTGTATCTGAACTAGTTGTTTCAAGATTCAAAAACGAAAGTTTTTTTTTGTGAAAAAATTATTCCAGTACAAGGAACCTTTTTCAATTGATCAAACAGGTTTCTGAAATTCCTCTTTTTTAAAAACTTTAGTTTAGTAATAAAACTGATACAGTTTTTATGTGGTTGACCTCTGAGTCTTTTCTTTTGTTTCTTGTGTTAAAAATTTTTGCTACTAGGTTGCGATTTATCCTTTGCTTTTGAGATAATTTTTTTGGGTATTTTTTAGTTTTTTCTTTGGAAGTGTTTTCCGTTATTCGTTTTTGATTTGATTCGGATAAGGATAATGAATGACTAAAGAATTTGTCAGAGGATATTTTTGAGAAGTTTTCTATCTCGATTTAAAATCCATTCTCTATGGGTTCCAGAGGCTAGTTTTAGGATTTGTGGGTGTTGAAAATGATCTTAAATGTGTGTATGTAGTGGTAGACTAAAACAAATTGAATCTTTTGTAGGTTGACAATAACCTGTGTGTTTTTGAGAAGTTTGCTGTAAACAATAGTGATTTCCGTGGTTTTTGATTGAAAACCATTTCGTATGGGGACAATCCTATGGTTGTTTTTGTTTGTGAATTATAATATAATGGGAATAGCTTTACGTCAGTTGACCATTCAGTATGTTTGGTATCATTTCCATTGATAAAACTGCTAAAGTATTCTTGTAGGGAACGGTTCATACATTCGACAAAACCACTTGTCCATGGGGCATGAGATATTCTGGATTTATGCTTAAAATTATAGAGGTCACATTATGCGATAATGTCAAAATTTTTATAATTTAGTACCATAATATCTAACGAGGTTTTCGGGTAGTTCAAATTTAGCTATGATGTTTTCATAAAGTGTTGAGTACGCATAACAAGCATTACAATGAGGTACATGGTTGAATCCTACATAGTAAGGAATTGCATCAACTATTATCATTATGCTTGAATTTCGTTCTGAACGGTGCGATGTAGGACTTTTTGTATCAAATGATATCTTGTGGTCGAAATATCAACTTTGTCGTTTAAAATCTTGATTTTCTGCTAATTGGTTTCCGTGTGGATATAGTTTGCTTAACTGACATGTTCTGCAATCATTGCATAAGATTTTAGTCCAAATCGGTGCATTTGAAGAGTAGTAATTTTGAATAAATTTCGATTATGTTTTTTCTGATCCTGCATGTCTTTTTGTTTTTAAGGAAAGTGAAATGTGAATTGCTGTTAAGATCATGCTTAATAGTAGACAAGATACTTTTTTGTCTGGAGTATGGTATTCCAAAAGGTCAGTGTTTGCGTTGATTATTGTAGTGTTAAGCTTTCGAAAATATCTAAGCAGCGTTTTCTTTCCTAAAATTTTGACATCTAATTTTATAGGTTTTGTTTTATATTTATGCCAGGATTTAAGTTGTCTGATGACAGGGTCAAGATTATGATACTTTGTAGTAATTCTGGTGTTATGTTTTCTGTGATTGGTAAGAGGATGTCATGAATTTTGATTTTTGAGAGAGGTACATTGTCTAAGGGGTCTTGTAGATTGAAAATTTTGTTTCTGGTTTATTTGGAATTTAAATTACGAGGTCTTGGTAATTTTATGCAATCCGTTAGATTTTCTCTTTTGATCAAAGGGAAAAGGTTTTTTCTTGATAACTTTTGCTTAGGTGGTTTTTTCTATGTATTTCTTTGATCCATGATGAATATGGTATCGGTTTAATGTAGATTTTCTTTATAAATCCTTTTCGTAATGGTTATTTTGTCTATCGAGGTATAATGGAAAATGCTCCAGATTATCTATTTGTGTATTGTCGTGGTAATGTTTCGTCTTTTGCAAGAAAAATTTTCAATTTCTGGTACTGCTACGGCTGTTTACCGTGTTAATAACTCAGCTGGTGTATTTCAACTAATGGTATCTGGTAATGCAATATTTTTCCTGCTGTCCAAACTATCTGTAAGTTTGGAAATTTCATTAAAATAAGTTGAAGTCTATAAACTGTATGGTTTGGGTTTGATTTCGTGTAAATAGGAAATTTATTGGTTTAAGATCTGTGAATAGAACTGTCGGAGTAACTGATCCAAGGATTATTAGTTTGTATTCTATAAGTGTATATATTATAGCCGCACAATCTCTCATAAGTTTAGAGAGTCTAAGTTCTGCTTGTGTAAAAAGTCTTGAGTTTGCTGATATATGATTCATTTTATTTGTTTTTTATGTGATTGTACGAGCGCTGCGCCAGTTCCAATGTTTGAGGCATCGCCCGTGGCATAAAATGCTTGATCTTGATCTGGTATTGTTTTTGATATTTGTTCTGTGAGGAGAGTTTTCATTGGAACTTCAAAACGTTTTTGATGTTCTAATGTCCATTCAAAATTTTTTCCATGTCTGAGAATATTATGAAACCGTCTCAGGTATAATTGCATTTTATACACATATTTACGTAAAAAGTTTTGCAATCCAATGACTTTTTGGTTTTTCTTCTTATTAAATGGTGTTGAAGTTTTAATTTAACAAATATTTGTGATTTTATTGCAGTAATTGTACTTCCTTCAATATTATGTACAAGGAATGTAACACGAGTGAGAAAAAATGTGATTTGTCTGGGGCTGCTTCCATGTTTTCTTTTAGTAAAATTTGGAGATTTTTTTCTAATACCTTAAACATTTCTTGTTTTGTTTGTGATGGTATAAAAACATCGTCTAAATATTTGATAACGTTTTTACTAAGGATAAAGGGTCTATAATTTTTGCTCATGAAAGCCGAAAAAGGTGCTGGTCCTATGGAAGTTCCATAGAAGAGTCTATTAATGTCGTATTTTCGGTTTCCAATAACTAATTGTGTAAATCGTCATGATTGTTCATCTAGAGGCCTTTTTTATATGCTCTATTCATGCCGCATTAGTATAATACTGTCCGTTTATTTTAGTGAGTATTACTTGGATTGATTCTATGGGCCAATTACAAGTAGATTTATCAATTAGGGAAATCAGATATCTTGCGTCAAAGACAAAAGTCAACAAAGGAAAGGACTCTTACTGAATACAGTTTCAAGAAGTTTTGCCTATTTTTTTTGCTATTTTTCAAAAATTTTTTTCATGTCTTCAATAAAACTTTTTGATGTTGTTTTATTTTTAAACTGAAAGGGTGTTCTGCACATTTGGAGCAGTGGTTATACCCATGCCTGAGACGACAAATCCTATTAGCTTGATTCCAATCGGGACCTACTTTTGTGGAAACTGAATTTTTTTCTAATACTTTTGTCTTATATGTCTGCTAATGTTTGCCGGCTTAGGTAACGAAGAAAACTTCTGTTTTCTTTTTGATATTTTGGAAACTGTTTGTAAAGTTTTTAATGGCGAAAGTATTTTTGTTACAGAAGACTTTGTCCCTTTTTGCGATTAATGTAACTTTTAAGAAAAAAAATTTTTTTTTGTTTTTTTTTCTTCAATTTTTGACTTATCTTTTCATTTGCTGGTAATCATAATCAATCATTTTTGTATCGCAAGTGACGCGCAAGTGACGCCAAACATGTGTACAAAATGACAATGAGGGGAAGCATAGGTGAACATGTTTTTGATTGAGTTGTTTTCTTGATTTATGAGTGCCACTTCTGCAAGTTTGGTTTTGATTCAATAGTTCTTAACTAAAACGACTACTTTTCCCTTATAAAATTTATGAGAATTTGGTTTTTAGACTAGATGAAGGGAGTCAAAAATCTTGAAAAGAAACTTAAACGTTTTTTTTTAATAATATAGTATGTGTATCTGGGAGAGGGAGGGTTGGATTTCAAAAAAATGCCGTAGAACATTGTGTCAATTGCTTTAACTCGACCTATTGGTTGAACTAGAACAGCAATTTGCCAAAAATTTGCGCGGGCGAATTTTTCCAAAAAAATTGCGGCCAACAATGACGTTTGGTGGCCACATTTTGGAAAGTTTTGACGTTTTGGAGTTGTTTCGAAGCGCGCTTCCCCCTCTTCAACTCAGCAGTAACTTGTGTGTACCACTCATCTAGATAAATTTTTACCGCTTAAAACCTTAATGTACTTAGTTTTCTTCAGAATAAAAGCAATCTGAGATACTGTTTTTGGAAAGTTTTCTTTAAATGGAATATATTTTTGACAAAAAATTACATTTTTCAATGCAAAAAAAACGGGAAGTGTTTGTATCACTGATTTTTTGATGGAAAACAAAAATTAAGTAGTATGGGAATCTAGCTATTTTTGTCTGTAGTTATAAACTCATTTTTTTCATTGTAAAAGATTAATTCAAATTCATTACGGATTTTGAGAAGAAAAACCACAATTGAGCAATTTGAAGTTTGATAAACCAAAAATAAGCAAGTTTTCGCTGTCGTGTTCGAAGTTATGTTTCACCCCTTGTAGCTAAACAGTGGTTGTTCATTCTAAAATTTGGTTAGCAACCGAGAAAAAACTGTTTTAAGACCGCAAATTGCGGATTCCACTTACAGTTGCGGATTCCGCAACAGCTCAATTTAACGATACAAATGTTTTATCATTTGTTTGTGGATTTCACAAACTGTTCTGGATTCCGCAAATACAGTTGCGGATTCCGCAAATACAGTTGCGGATTCCGCAAATTCGCCGATTTTTCGAGCGATTTTGAACGGTTCAATGATTTAGGTATTTCTTTGTGGAATCCAAAACAGTATAGAAGATCAAAGAAAAGTAGCCATGTTGCGGATTCCGCAACAAATCTGATTTTGGCCTGTTGCAGATTCCGCTTACAATGCAGAGAATGCACAGTTTGGCCTTGTAATGATGATGTCACTCAATTTTATGAAAATAATAGTTGTTCTTTAATATGTTGCTTTGTTTTACTTTTTCTGGTTGCCAGTTAGTATAACTCCAAATCTGCTAATTATTTCCATCTCTGTAGATTTCTATGCAAAATCAAGGGTACCAATACCAAATTTTTTTCTAAACTCAGGCCTGGCCGTTTTTAAATCATACAGAACTCAGATGTTGAGCAGTTCTGACCCCTGTCTATTTTTTTGATGGGCATCTCTGATCCAGACATGCATCATATCTGATCTATTTACTTATTGCAGCTATGCCTTGACCTTGATCCAGACATGCGTCAGACATGCGTCAGACATGACAAGACCTCGAACTGACATGTTCCAGACATGACTAAACCTTGGACTGACATGATTCACACAGTATAATTAATTGCGTAATGTTTCTTCTCATCATCGACGCGATACTGCATGAAATAACTAAACCAGTTCTTCAATCTCGTACAATGTTACTTTTTCCCCACAAATTCCATCAGTCGTGTCATCTCCTCAAGGTCAAGTCTATCACCGCAGAGGTCTCTAGTTCGCTAGAGTCTATAGTGGCATAACCAAAGTAGAAAGCTGCCCAGTGCTAGACTTTTTGTTTTTTGTAGCGCTGCCGACACTTCCTCTCTGCATAGCACACCTGCGATGTTTGGATAAGGATTTTAAATACTTTCATAGAGGCCCAGTTTTTCTGCGTGCAGAGAAACGAGTTGACCTCTATGCACGGTTGAAATGAGCAGTTTTAAATTAGGTGTGATAAAACACCGGTAATGAGAAGATATTGGACGAGCTGCAGATTGACGAGCTTCCGATGGAAAAAGAGGAAGAGTGTACCCACCATAAAAGAGATGGTCGGTGGTTTGTGATCTTATATAACAAGTAGGGCAGACGTAGAGTAAACTACTGTTCCCTATTTGATGGTAAGATTTAAAGCGGATACCCGCATCTGCTTGGTGAGAATGATTATCCCGTACAGAAATAAAATAAAAATACAGATATGCCCAGGGTTAATCCATTTGTTGTGAGATTGCATATCTGCCCTGAACTGTATCAGACATGTTCAGACCTGGAAGATACAACAATTTTAATGTTACGGAAATAAAATAAAAATCTGTATTACCGGTAGAGTTTGCCTTCTTTTGTTCATATTGATGGTGGCTTATAACCACTCTAAGTTATTCATGCCTTCATGCCCAGTAAAATTCTCTTGGTCATCAGAGAGCAGGTACTCAGTGTCCACGTTTGAAATGATGTTCCAGGGTGAGGCTGATGTGCCGATTGAATCAGGGGCGGATCTAGGATTTTCTCGAGGGGGGGGGCGGATTTTCAAAAAAAAATTCGAAAATTTTGACGACCTTTTTTTTTTTTAGGTCGACCAAATTGATTTTTCGAGCTCTCCCAAAGCAGTGTTTTCCCCTTATTTTGGCAAAATTTTCTGCGCCGCAGGCAAATTTTTGAAAAAACAGTCAAAAAAGCCGTTTTTGGGCACTTTTTGATAAATTTTGACAAAAAAATCGCGTTTTTTTTGGCGCGCGCTCCCCCTCAAAGTTAGTATATATTGGCGCCGAAGGCGCCTTTAGAAAAATTTTAGGGTCGGTCGGGCAAAAATGGATTTCTGAAAAAGTATCAAAGGGGGGACCCTTTGGGTCGGTAGGGGGTCGAATCTCTGAGGGGGGGGCGTCCGCCCCCCCGCCCCCCCCCCCCCCCCCCCCTAAATCCGCCCCTGGATTGAATCATCATTTGTAAGGAACCTTTGATTAATTGTTCCGTAAATTTGAAAAATGGGGAGGAACCTTGTATTTGGGTGTATTTTAGTTTTTTTATTTTTGTTTTCCACGAAAAGTCAGGTACCATAAATAATCATCGGACTGCGTTGAGTGATATATCATATTAAAGCCTTTTCAGTCGTAATTCGAACCACATTAAAACTTTCCAAAAAATTTTCCCAGTGTTGAGAAAAACCGGTTTGAAATTTTAGATTTTTGTCTTAATTCGAGCGGATAAAACTGGCTGGCAACAATTTAATTTTGAGCGAGTAAAACTAGTTTTTGGAGTTTTTAAGCTTCGTTTTGGGCTATTTTTAGAGCTTTTTTTCAGTTTTTCTAGTAATTTTTCTACAAAAATTTTTGTCCGATTTGCCTTTAATACTATAACTCTCTAATACGCCTAAATTATAATTTAAGGTCAGATAGTTTTATCAAACTAAGCAGAAAAGCTTTGTAAAAAAGTTTCTAAATCGTAGTTGTCTAAAGACTATTGTTCGCGCCAGCACACAAACTGAAGCTGGAAAAAGCTTCCCTGTTAATTTCAAACGAATCATTATCAAAACTGTTAACCTCTTTTATCATTTAGTTTGTCCTTGTACTCATTTGACTCATATTGCTATGCCGAAAACCGGATTTATTTATTTGATTCTTACGTGACTAAATTGCTAAACTTTGTTTTATATCTGTAAAAGAAACATATTTCCGGTGCGAACAAACTTCTTGGCCACAAAATTTGGAGCTTTTAGCAAATCAAATTTACCCTTAATTGATAGTACATTCTATGCTGGCTTAATCTAGACTCTTTAAAAGACAGTAAAATATTTATTTTTCTCAAATTTGGCCCAATTGTGGGTTGTAATTGTGACCTAAATTTGTAACAAAATGTTTTTCTTTTGTTTATCAGAACAATTCTAATATTACC